CTATCTATCTATCTATCTATCTATCTATCTATCTATCTATCTATCTAAAGATATCTTAATTCCAAGCCAACAATATTTTTCTCCTATAGATTGGAGTTTGAAATAAAAAAAATCACCCTCTCAAGGAAAATCATTTGTAGCTCAGCACTCAGATGAGCATGAATTAACTCCAAGATTAACCTCCAACCAACAATCAAGAAGTAAACAATACCCCAATCAAGGAACTGCCAAACAAGCCAAAGATAAACAGCCCAACCAAAGAATCTCCAAGACCAACCCCACCAACACTGACACTAGGAATATAAACTGAGAACAATCTCCAGTCCTTAGCAGCACTAATGATGTAACCAAGTTGGGGCAATAAAGTATCTGTAAGTACACCAAGCTCAGATAGCACCAGCCCCATATTGTTTATGTTCCCCGTAAGAACTGTAAGTCTTCAAATATTGCTGAGCAAATGCTTTTGAAACAGTAGGAACTTTCCAAAAAGCAGCTTTCTCACCTCCCATTCATTTCAATGGAGTTTGCATATTAGCCTTGTATTTTTTATAATAAAAGAACATTACATTTAAAGTTACAAAACTAACGGGGTGGGAAGAAACTACATCACAATATAGCTGTGACTAGGTACATTTTTGTATGAACAAGAAATAGAAACAATAGATTAAATTAACCTTATTTCTCATCCAAACTTGCCCCGGTAATAGTCTATTCACTTTGTTTAGACTGACTATTAGGTGAAAGTTTGGTTTAGTTGCGCTTTATGGTTTTTACAAGAAAGGATTCCTTTCAAAGGTTTGTTGAGACCTGAAGTTCCTCCCCAATCTTTTCTGGGATGTGATTTTCACCAAGGATTGTTTTGGGTTAAGTCATTCAGTTTAGTTTATTTCTTTTTCAGTCCCATTTTGGCAGAAGGATTTGAATGGATGAAAACATGCCCCCATTGGAAGTCAGGAAGTTCCCTCTAGTCTAAACCTAGCAGGGAATTCACAGAATAGGGTACCTATGAATGTAGGGTACAGTAAGAGATGTAGGATATCTCCTTGCAAGGACCCCAAAAGCTCATGTCTAGCGGGTGCCCTCCCATCAGAGGTATGGTGAGCAGCCCCCCAAAAGGTTTTCCCTACCCAGTGAGGTACACCAAGCCCCATTTTTATTATGACTGATGAATGTTGAACAGTATATAAGTATGTAATATAAACTTAATAACAGAAATAGGAAATATTTCTATAACACAGAAGCATCCCATGAATTTAAATGAAGCTTGATGATCAGGTCTGGATCAGCAACTTTTTGTGATCCTCTTCAAAGGAAGCCTGGCTATCAACTGATTGTGAGCTAATTGTGAACATAGGCTGAGCACTATTCCAAAGCAGTGCTACTCTAGAACTGTGCAACTCCATAGTTGCATAAACCTTTGTCCAAAAGCAGACCATGACTATGTTCATGAAAACCTTTGTGATAAACAGAGGAAAAACTGATATGATATAGCCATACAGCCAAGCTTGCTGCATAAACCATTTTACAAACTGGTTTCCTCTCCAAGTCTTAAGGAAAATGATTCTGGGTATGTTCCCTATAGGGGAGTGGGGAGAATGAAGTCAGGATATCTATCAACCTCTATAGCAGGGGTGTCAAACTCAAGGCCCGGGGGCTAGATCAGGCCTGGGGGGGGGGGGCGGTGCTTAGATCTGGCCCACGGGGCCTTTCTGGAAACAGTGAAGGACTGGCCCGCGGTGCCTCTGCCAGTGAAAATGGAGCTCAGGAGGGCTGCGTGCAGCTCTCCCGAGCTCCGTTTTCGCTGGCAGAGGGTTGCAGGAGGCCATCGCAGGTGAAACAGAGCTCGGGAACCTGTTTTTGCTGGCAGAGCGCTAGGGCCATCACAGGTGTCCCCAACATGAGTGACATCAAACTGGCCACTCCCCCCCTGCCCCCCCAAGGCCAAACACAACCTTGATTTGACACCGCTGCTCTATAGGGTACCTTCTATATAAAGGTCAGTATCAGACCTTTATTACTTTGGCTTTCTACATCTCTGTTCACCTAAAGACGTCCCTTCCATTCACCTGATTAGTTTAGTTAAAACAAGATGAAGTATATACTCAGTTAAGACAATTTAAGTAAAGAATTCTGTTTTGCTGTGCTTCTTGATGGAAGAAAATAAAAACCAGCGTGTGATATAACCTTATTTGAAAATGAATTCTATTCAGCAGGAGGAAGAAATATACAAGGTTCAACAAAACAAAGCCATAGCAATAGGAATTTAGATGAGGCCAGCTCATTTTTGTTAGGCCCACATACAGATATAAGCACAAGTATTGCTCCACACATTTTTCTTTAAATGTGCTGAAGTAGGCTAAAGGGCTTCATCAGCAGATCAGTTAGCAGGCATACAGAAATCCATTTAATAAGTCACTAGGGTAGGCACTATGTTACTCAATTTAATTTTTTACCTTCCCAAATGACCAAAAGCCAGCTAGCCCAGGGAAGCTTCTCATTTTGTACATATAGATGAGTACATATTAGTTATCCATCATCTACTTATGCACTGCTTGGAAACCTAAGGATCTTAAAAAGCAAAGAACTAATTGTAGGCACACAACGTCACAAATATATTGCAAATAACAAAGTACCATTCATGAAGGTGAAGATATGTATTCAAATTGGAAAATTAAAGGGTTTAAATAGCAGAGTTCTCAGTGTGTTTACCTGAGTTAGTTTATTATACTCATTAAACCCTAAATATGACTTTTGATATACTTTACAAAATGTGTTAGAGACATGGTAAAGTTATTTCTGCTCTTAAAAAATCCGTAATGCTGTAGCAGAGCACTAAAATAGGTATTTTATGATTGATAAACAGGTTGTGTTACTGCCTTCCAGAAAAAAAATGATACTACAGAATAGATGGTAAGATACAAAGTTCCACCAAATATTTAGTACAGATAGTCCTCGACTTATAACCACAATTGAGTTCCAAATTTCTATTGTTAAGTGAATTTTGCTCCATTTACGACCTTTCTTGATACAGTTATTAAGTGAATCACTGCAGTTGTTAATTTAGTAACAGTTGTTAAGTGAATCTGGCTTCCTCATTTTGCTTGTCAGAAGGTCACAAAAAGTGATCACCTGCCCTGGGACGACCCAACCGAGTCAATTGCCAAGTGTCTGAATTTTGATCTTGTGACCACAGGGATGTTGCAGCAGTCAAAAGTGTGAAAAATGTTTGCAAACCCACTTTTTCAATGTCATCATTGAACTTTAAACAGTCACTAAATGAACTGTTGTAAGTCGAGGACCACC